ATACATACACACAAGTACACACAAACACACACACAAACATACACAAACACACACATACACACAAATATACATACACACAAGTACACATACACACACATACACACAAGTACACACACACACAAGTACACACACACGCACAAACATACACACACAGTATTATTCACGTGAGACGAGGGAACAGGGGCACCCGGAGAAAAGTCCATGCACGCGAGAGGGCAATACGCTCGATCCCCGCAACGAATGGCTCCCGAGGTCGACGACTCCACTTGCTCTGCCGCCTTTCGCTTGGCGAGCCGGGGGTTCGGCTGCTCCTCGGCGCCCACGGGAATGGATGTTCGCGACATCTCTTCCGGTGATCCACCAACCCTCCGGGTAGCCGCGTGCGCGAGACATTCAAGAGGCACTGGGTGGCAACGAGCGAGGTTAGTTAATTTTTTTTAATTCGAATGAGTGGAATAATTCCTCCCGACGTCAAATGCGAGTGAAAGGAGCATCGTTATACAACGTGGACAACATCTTACAGTCTGGCTTTCATAAAATAAATACGTGTATCAAACGAGAATAAAGATAATTATACAAGTGACGGTATACATTCAAATGTACATTTCCCCCAATGCCCTCGTAGTCTTTTTTGTGTGTTTATGTATGTACATGTGTGTTTAAAAGCAAACACAAAATTACATTTAATCCATTATTCATATTGCATGGCAAATGATAAGCGAGTGGGACACGTGGGTGTGGGCGTGCGTGAGTCTCGACGTTTTGGCAAGGCAAAGTCTGGAACACGGTGGGGGGAGGGGGGGAACTGCGGGACGCGAGCCAATCAAACACTTGCCCTACCCCTAACCCCAACCACGCGATACAACCTCAAATACACACACGCCAAGCGGTCACCAGCCCTACCCAGAACCACGACCGCACCAACCAACCAGGCACTAGCCGTGACCCTTGACCCTGACCCAGCCGTGGCCGTAGCCCTGACCCAGATGTGGCCCTGACCCTTGACCCTGACCCAGCCGTGACACTTGACCCTGACCCAGCCGTGACCCTTGACCCTGACCCAGCCGTGGCCCTAACCCTGACCCAGATGTGGCCCTGACCCTTGACCCTGACCCATCCGTGACCCTTGACCCTGACCCAGCGGTGATCCTGACCCAGCCGTGACCCTTGACCCTGACCCAGCCGTGACCCTTGACCTTGACCCAGCCGTGGCCCTGACCCTTGACCCTGACCCAGCCGTGACCCTTGACCCTGACCCAGCTGGACCCTTCCCCCGCTCGTCGTGTTCGGTTCGCGCGTCCTGCCTCGCCTCCTTCTCAGCGCCGACACGGCACGTGCAGGGAGGGTCACGCGTGAGTCGCGATCACCGGTGACACGCAGCTCTCTGTCCTGTCTCTCTTTCTATGAACTCAACACACTCGTCATTAACACGGGGTGTGCCTTCCGATAACAAATATACAGGGGCTTCAAAATTGTTTGGAACATTTCTGAGAATTTGCAACAAAAACCACGAGAAATGTGCCGTCTCCGAGCTCTGGAGACCACCTGGAGAAGATCCCAGGCCACGCGTTGACGACGATGGCGAACAGGTGGAGGCTCTTTAACTTTTGGAAGCTATTAACATCACATTTGTTATCGTGTTACAGTGCATTATCCGTTCTTTTTCCATTAAAAACGATAGTCCCATATAAGTGTTAAAACATTTTTTAACCACCCAGTTTTTAAAGTAACGTTTCGGACAATGGCCCATCTTCATAGGACATAAAGGTCCGTTGCCCGAAACGTCGCCTATTATATGTTTTTTTTATTTTAAGGCCACGCTGTTTTGACGACCGTGTTGTGTTTGTTGTTGTTTATGCACCACTGCCAACGCAGCAGCAGTGTGACAACATAATCTGCTGAACACAGCGGCCCTGTCTACCGTAGTGGGTAGGTATAGTCGCCTGCCTACCACTCTGCCTACCTGCCGAGTTGACATTAATTTCGCGTGGGATATTATCTGCAGCTCAGCACCCAGGACAGCTCCATCCTGAAATCAAGCCCCGACCTCCAGGCGTCTCTCAAACGGAAGGTCGACGCCTCAACAACAACACCACAAGAATGTGCATCGTGATTTCTCGATGTGTATATATTTCGAATGTTCTGTACGCGTGGGTCCAGAACTAGGCTCAACGTCTGGTTTTTCATCACGTTTGCCAACAGAGGAAAGCTCCTTATCAACATGTATATCTGTGCAGGCCTTGTGGAGATTAAATCCAACCGCGCCACCACTCCCCCCACTATCAAGGTAACGCCATACTACATTAGAAACAACATTCTACTGGCTGGCTGGAGGGACGGACAGACGGACCGTCACGTCCAAAAGACGTGTGCCTTGTTATTATATCATACGAATAATAAAAGAGATATTTTTTGTAAAAATATTGGCTCATCATTTGAGAACCAAGATAAGCAAATTCACCAACATTCAATGGTAGCGACGACGATACTTGGCTTTCCAGAATGCAAGTTCGTTTTGAAGAGCGCGTGACCTAATCTGGAGAGCAGCCAACCAACCCTTCAACGCGGATAACTGACAGCTCTGCGGCCACCGCCTCACTGCCGTCTGCGAGTCGCAAAATCAATGCGACAGGCATTGGAGCGAATAGCGCGCAACGGCGTTGTGTTTGGACAAAGCGAAAGAAGAGAGAGAGGCGGGATGCAACGCCGTTCATTCATCACCTATGGCACACCTACTGGCGGTCACTAATCTGCTTACACACGCACACGCACCGACCAAATTACAAGACGAATCCCCAGCATTTGCTTTTAAATATGGGGGGGATATGATTGGGGGGCAGTGCGTCGGTAATCATCCAGCAGGATTTATTTAAACAACAAATGCTCCATCGGCTTTCATCTTTTGGGTGTAATCAGCAGTCAGGCTTGCCAAAGAATAAATACAGCCGGGCTTGTCAAATGTTGAGGACTGGTAAGTCATCTCGTGCAGGCTGTACTCAACAATCACGCTACAGGCCACAGCAACCCACCCACTCACCCACTCACCCTACCGCTCACTAGCTCACCTACGCACGCACTAACCCACTCGCTCGCCCACCCAATCTACCACTCACTAACTCACCCGCTATTTCATCCACCCATTCACTCACCCACTAACTAACCCACCCACTCACCCTCACGCTCACGAGCTCACTCACGCACTCGCTAACCCACTCGCTCGCCCACCGACTCTACCACTCACTAACTCACCCGCTATTTCACCCACCCCTTCACTCACTCACCCACTAACTAACCCACCCACCCTCCCGCTCACTAGCTCACCCACTCACTCACTAACCCACTGGATCACCCACATACTCTCACGAACTCATCCACTAACTCACCCACCCATTCACTCATCCACTAAGTGAGTGTGTGGGTAAGTTAAAGGTGGGATAGTGAGTGATTGGGTGAGTGATTGGGTGAGTTAGTGGGTAGGTTAGTGGGTGGGTTAGCGAATGGGTGGATAATTTAGTGGGTAAGTGGGTCGGTTAGTGAGTGGGTGGGTTAGTGGGTGAGGTAGTGGGTAAGTGGGTGGGTTAGTGGGTGGATTATTGGGTGAGTGGGTGAATGAGTGGGTGGGTTAGTGGATGAGTGGGTGGGTGAGTCGGTGGGTTGGTTAGTGAGTGAGTGGGTGTATCTGCAATCCACCAGCTCTGTGACAAGGCAAGAGAAACGGGCTGACTCACCGTCGGATCTCCTCTCACCGATGCTCTCCGCTTGGCGGCTACGACAGAACACGAGGAAGCACCTCAACCGAGGCCACGCCGCTTGCGTGGCCGAGACTCATTCCCTGTCGCGCGCCTTGACACCGCGTCCACGCCTCTTCTCGTATGTATAGACCACGGTGTGTACACAGGGATATATATTTATATTTACACAACTATTCCCATGGATGATGCCACGGCGGTGGTTGTAAATGTCAGCACACTGGACTTACGATCCCGAGGCCACCCGATCGCCCCCATATCGATCTCCTGGCGCGGCAGCTGAGACAACGTGGAAATTCTTAACCCTCCTCCCCTTCTCCCACCTCCCCCGTCTCAGAATCAAAACCTATATTTAGACTGGAGGAGGAATCCGATGTGCTGTGAAGGTCTCTTTTTGTACAGATGCCCAGCCGTCTCTGTGTCCACTCAGCGCTACAGAGTTACAACTTTGTTCATGGGGTCACCGCGGTTTAGTTGTTCGTTGGTCGCGTTGCGGTGGTGCCGTAAAGCGTGGGGTGATCACCTCGATGGAGGAGGAGGCTCGTGAAGGACGCTCCTGGGAAGTTGGAGGCAGTCGCTCTCCAACAACGACGGAGGGTAGAGGAGCGACGCTCACAACAACGAGCGGAGCGCCGTGCGGCTAAAGCACAGCAAGTTGGCACGGCAGGGGGCACAGCTGGTGTGCATCTGTCAGTCATCTCAGTCAGCCAACACATGGCAACCTGGGTCCGTCCCGTGACTGAGTGGCCGAATGGCGGGTGTCGGTATTGGTCATCTCCTCGTCCTTCCGTGGCATCCCCTGCTCCGTGTGGGAGAGTGGAACGAGGGGGACGCGCCCTCGAGCAGAGCGGCTCTCTGGAGCGTCCTCTCCTGCAGGGCCCCTTCCAGCGGCAGTGGCGTGAGCGAGACACTTGCGGGGCCGCACCTTTCCCGACCTTTCACTCGTGCAATATTGTTCTCGTTCTCAATCAGTGGCTGTTCAAGCATGTATATACAGTATGGTGAACTTCTTTCGCACGGTACCTTGCAAACCGTGATAATCGGAGGTGCCCGCTGCAGTCGTTTTTTTTGCTTTTGCCGGGGGGGGGGGGGGGCGTCTCAGAGCGCTTTCACACCACGGCACGAGGTGACCGACTCGGCACCCTGCTCACCAGCGGGAGGGTACGGCTGGGGGGGCTAGGGGTAGGGGGGTAGGACTGGGGGGGGGGGCTGGGGGGGTGTAGGGCTGGGGGGGGGGGGACAATTTGTTGTGCGGACCGAGCGGTCGGGAGCGTTCGCGGCAGGGGGCCCCCCTCAAGCTCACAGCAGGAAGTGAGGCCTCTCGGCCACGCGCAGGGCCTCGTGGATGCCCTCGGCCGACAGGCGGCGATTGATGTTGCGGTAGCGGCAACGCAGCACGCTGCGGAACGCCGTGCGCAGGTCGCGGTTGAACGAGGCGTAAATGAGGGGGTTCACGAGCGAGTTGGCGTAGCCGAGCCACAGGAAGGTGCGCTCGAGGCTGAGCGGCACGCAGCTGCACACGGCGTCCACCAGGCTCGGATCGGCCCCCAGCTCGACCCCCGCCGAGGCGGCGATGAGCCGGAAGCGGCCGTCCGAGTCGCCGTGCGCGCCGAAGCCCCCGCCGCTCGCTCCGATTCCGAGGCCGTCGCCGGTCGCGCCCGAGGCGTTGGGCGCCGAGGAGAAGGACGAGCGGCAGATGAAGGGCCGCGCCGTGGAGAGCGTGAAGAAGGGGAGCCAGCAGAGGGTGTAGGCGCCCAGGATGACGCCGAGGGTGCGCGCCGCCTTCTGCTCGCGCTTGAAGATGGAGATGTTGCGTCCGTCGCTGCGCAGCAGGCGAGAAAGCGTGGCGCACTCCTCCTCCTTGTGGGGGGGGGGGGGTCGCGAATGGATAGGGAGGAGATCGGGAGAGGTTCGGGAGGAGATCGGGAGAGGTTCGGGAGGAGATCGGGAGGAGTTCGGGAGGAGTTGGGGAGGTGATAGGGAGGTAATTGGAAGATCGGGAGGGGATCCGTTAGGATTGATTATGGTCAGATTAGATAAGTCGATGGATTATATTTGTAGATTAATTTGCATTCATGATATTGGTCAATTCGTGTCCACTTATGAGAGTCGCGCAAACCTCGCCGGGGGCTGCGAGGTGGCTGGGAGCCGTGCGAGGTGGCGGCACTGCCAAAGGGGCTCGTGATGCGTGGTGGGTGGGGGGGGGGGTTCTCCGGGGTCCTGCGGCTTCCTCCCGCAACAAGCCGAACTCTCATCACTCAGTGGCAAATGTCTCGAGACTCCGTGAGGCTTTTTACTCATTACCATCATCGCTGCTGTTCACATTTCATCGCTCACCATCATCGTCGTCACACACAACAAACAAAACACTCATTACCACCATCATCGTCGTCATACACACAACATACAAAACCACTCATCACCACCATCATCGTCGTCACACACAACATACAAAACACTCATCACCACCATCGTCGTCGTCACACACAACAAACAAAACACTCATCACCACCATCATCGTCGTCACACACAACATACAAAACCACTCATCGTCACTATCATCGTCGTCACACACAACATACAAAACACTCATCACCACCATCATCGTCACCATCCCCGGCAGGCCCTGAATGCGCTGCACGGGAGCAGAGCAGCGTGCCACGCGCCTCCGGCTGCAAATGCGCGCGAGTGTTCGCTCTGCTGCGGCCGCAGACCGCTCGCGTCAAGGATTCCTACCTCGCCCAAGGGCGAGCGGCATTCTCCCGTGTGTCCCTGTGTGTATCTGTGTGTCGGTGTCCCTGTGTGTCATCAGTGTGTTTCTGTGTCTCAGTGTGTCTTATCAGTGTGGTCTCTGTGTCTCTATGTGTCTCAGTGTGTCTCATCAGTGTGTCTCTGTGTCTCAGTGTGTCTCTGTGTCTCTGTGTGTCTCAGTGTGTCTCATTAGTGTCTCCGCGTGTCTCTGTGTCTAATCCGTGTGGCCCTGTGTCTCGACCGTGTGTCTCTGGTTCTGTCCACGTATGCGTCTGCGTGTGTCTCTTGTCTCTATGTATGTGTACGTGTATGCATCTCTGTCGATCTCCGTGTGCGTCTCTGTGTGTGTCTCTGTGTCTGTCAGCAGTCGTCGCGCTGAGCCGAGTTCGATTTCCTGCTCGCGGCCACGAACACCGGCGACGATTATCTGAACCGGTCCTGGGCCTCTCCTAGGTCGACTCAGCCTCAAACGAGTACCTGGTGCGGTGTGTAAACATCGCCACTGGGGAGACAAAGGCGGCCGGGCGTGGTGTTGGCCATCCGCCCCCTCGTTAGCGGCCTTTATCAGTACTCGCTAACAGCACTTGCCCCAACAGCCTGTTGAGGATCTTTATCTTTGGTATGTGTCTCTGCCTACCTTTGTGTGTCCGCGTGTGCTACTCTGGGTCCGTGTCTGTCTCTGTGTGTCTGCAGCTCTCTGTCTCTCACTGTCTATGTGTGTCTGTGTCTCTGTCTCAGTCTCTCTCTGTGTGTCTGTGTCTCTGTCTCTCTCTGTGTCTGTGTCTCAGTCTCTCTCTCTGTGTGTCTGTCTCAGTCTCTCTCTGTGTGTCTCTGTGTGTCTCAGTCTCTCTCTGTGTGTCTCTGTCTCTCTCTGTTTCTGTGTCTCAGTCCCTCTCTCTGTGTGTCTGTCTCAGTCTCTCTCTGTGTGTCTCTGTGTGTCTCTGTGTGTCTCAGTCTCTCTCTGTGTCTCAGTCTCTCTCTGTGTGTTTGTGTCTCTGTCTCTCTCTGTGTCTGTGTCTCAGTCTATCTCTGGGTGTCTCAGTCTCTCTCTTCTGTGTCTGTGTCTCTGTCTCTCTCTGTGTCTCTGTGTCAGTCTCTCTCTCTGTGTGTCTGTGTCTACCCCTCTCTCTCCCCATGCTGTCTTTTCCCCCCCCTCTCTCTGAGTCTTTCTCAACGGGCCCAATGGCGCTCCCAAATTCTCCAAGGTTGTGCGAATCTCACTCCGGCCAGCTGCCTCGCTCTCCGGAGAGACCCTGGCAGTCTGCGCCTGCGACGGGACAACTTTGTGTGTGTGGTTTTGTTTTTTAAACAGATGATTTTATCTTTCTGATGCTTGACGCAATTCAGAGTTCCCGGGTTAATATATGCGGCGTATATTTTATAATCAGGCCCAGAATAAATAAACGAATAACATTAATCTGTTTTTGCCTAAACCAAAACAACAACAACAACAACGACACTAATTTGTCTTTCTGATGTCAAAATCGCTCCGCGCGAAGCAGTGCAATGAAGACAAATGCGCAGCCACGCAATGGCTCGCTCACGGCACTGCTGGCTGAAGTAATTCTACAGGGAGAGAGGGGGGGGATAGTTGTAGAGAGGCCCTTTCCCTCTACCAGGGTACTTTGCCTACTCTTCCACGTTGGCCGGACGTCGCTGTAAGAGGTGGGAGCATCCACATTTACCCCACAAAAGGCGCGTTTTATGTACGTTGACTTCTTTGGCACCGTACATAGCCAACCGTGCTAATCGGATGAACTAAGGCAGTGGTGGTGGTGGTCGGGGGTGGGGGGTAAATTTGAGAATCTTTCCCCATTGTGTCAACTGCCGCGTCGGGAGATCGAACCAAACTGACGAATCCAGTTGCACTGCCAATTGTGTAACACGATGGCCATTGTGTGTAACACGATGGCCACTGTGTGTAACACGATGGCCATTGTGTGTAACACGATGACCACTGTGTGTAACACGATGGCCACTATGTGTAACACGATGACCACTGTGTGTAACACGATGGCCACTATGTGTAACACGATGGCCACTGTGTGTAACACGATGGCCATGTGGTGACGATCACTCGGTCCAACTCCCGCCGTCACACCGCCCCACCCCACCACGGCTCGCCCCCCCCCCCCCACCACGGCTCGCCCCCCCCCCACCACGGCTCGCCCCCCCCCCCACCACGGCTCGCCCCCCCCCCCCACCACGGCTCGCCCCCCCCCCCCACGGCTCGCCCCCCCCCACCACGGCTCGCCCCCCCCCCACCATCGGCTCGCCCCTCCCCCACCACGGCTCGCCCTCCCCCACGGCTCGCCCCCCCCCCTATACGGCTCGCCCCCCCCCACCACGGCTCGCCCCCCCCCCCCACGGCTCGCCCCCCCCCCCCCCACGGCTCGCCCCCCCCCCCACCACGGCTCGCCCCCCCCCCTCACCACGGCTCGCCCCCCCCCCACCACGGCTCGCCCCCTCCCCACCACGGCTCGCCCCCCCACCCCACCACGGCTCGCCCCCCCACCCCACCCCACCACGGCTCGCCCCTCCCCCACCACGGCTCGCCACCCCCCCACCACGGCTCGCCCCCCCCCACCACGGCTCGCCCCTCCCCCCACCACGGCTCGCCCCTCCCCCCACCACGGCTCGCCCCGCGCAAGTCCCCGCACTCGGATGTCAACAATCTGCGGCGATCGCCTCGCTCATCATCATCGTCGTCGCCGCCGTGGCGAAAGCGCGCCCGACGAGGCTTAAACTTCAATTTAAATTACCCGTTGCCCTGGGAACTAATTGGAGAGGGGCTGGCGGAGCGGGGGGTGGTGGGGGAGGGGTGTTAGAAAGATGAGCAAATGAGGATCTCGACGTTTTTTTTTTAATGGGCCACTCCGTTCCTACAGCTGCTGATAAAGCCAATTAACTCGTCTTGTGCTCTGTTTGTGTGAACAAAAACAATATAGAGCCAGGCCCAAAAACGTTGCGAAGCACTTGCTCGGCGTGTTTTTGTTTTTAACAGATCACATGGACGCCTGCAACAGCTCTGAACGTCCGTGGCGTACACGCGCGACACTGCATCAGCTGCAGCAGCTGCAGCATCTGCAGCAGGTAGCGTTGATGGTTGAGTAGCTTATATCGAGACAACTCTGGCGTGTTGCAGACATCAATTCAGGGCACGAGGCTTTCTCGCGAGGGCGCTTCCTCTCACGGCCACACCCATCCATTGGCCCGCAACGCCTTCATATATAGGGGAGCGCAGAGCTTGGACAATGGTTGCCGCCGCCTGGTTGCCCTCCCGTCTGTCTGCGTGGTTTCCTCTCGAGTCGTTCCCGCTCATCGCGAGTGAAGTGAATATACCGTCGACGTTATTGTTGTTGTTGTTGTTCGACCATACTTCACCACGCTGGTCAGTGCGGGTTGGTGAATGCGGGGGAGGAGGGTGGGAGGGGGGGAGGAGGGGGGGGGGAGGGAGGTGGCAGCACTGGCTTCAAATATCACTCGCCGTAACACAGTGCGCTAACCACTGCGCCACCGCTCCCCTTCCTAAATACATTCGTTTATAAGATAGAGTGGCACTCTCTCTCTGTCCCTGGGCCTCGGGCAGGGGAATTTGCGCAGTAAGGCTATTAAGAGTGCTTTGGTCTGTCTAAATGAGATTTAATTGATTTGCAATTAAGCTTCATGTGCCTAGAGTTGGTAATCTGATTTAGCTAATGGATAGTTACTGAGCGAAGCTTGGAATGGAGAGATTCCTTGTCATAGCAACGTGGAATGTACACAAATTCCTCAAGTTTGCTCATGTAGATGAGCATCCCATTAACCCGGCCACCAACGCAACCACAAACTCACGCATCGATCAACGCAACCACCAACTCAGCCACTAATCCTGACCACAAACCCAAATATGACGGTGTCTTACAACTCAACTACAAACCCAATCATCAACTCAACCATCAACTCAACCAACAATTCAACCAACCGATACAACCACCAATCAACCACAGAATGAGCAGCAACATTGGCCAGACACAACGCACGTGACAACACGAACAAGACGGCACAGCACGGACGAAACGACAGAACCAGACAATGCAGATGAGTTAAACAATACCAATGAGACAGAACCAAGCAGACAATGCAAATGAGTTAAACACTACCAATGAGACAGAACCAAGCAGACAATGCAAATGAGTTAAACAATACTAACGAGACAGAACCAAGCAGACAATGCAAATGAGTTAAACACTACCAATGAGACAGAACCAAGCAGACAATGCAAATGAGTTAAACACTACCAATGAGACAGAACCAAGCAGACAATGCAAATGAGTCCAACAATACAAACGAGACAGAACCAAACAGACAATACAAACGAGTTAAACAATACAAACGAGACAGAAACCAAACAAACAATACAAACGAGTTAAACAATACAAACGAGACAGACAGAACACACGAGTGACACGCACCACGACAGACGGCTGCCTACGCGACAGACGCGAACAACACAAACGACACAGCAGAGAGACACCCGCGGGGCAGTCTATCCAAACAGCGAGACTGACAACAACAACAGCAACAACAACAAAGCAGTCACGAGCAACTGGCGCGCTCCGAAAAGGTCGCGCGAACGAACGAGAGAGAGAGAGAAAGCACGAGAGGCGCTCCGAGCGGCGGCTTTTGGCCCGCGGGATAATTACAACGATGACCTTTCCTTAATGACCTCAACAGCCGCCGCTAAGAGAGGGGAGGGGAGCCCGGGGGAGGAGGGGGGAGCGAGAGGGGAAGGGGGGGCTCTAAACGTCCTGATCCATCTTGCTCCACTGCCCCCACTACCACCACCACCCACCCCTCCACCACTGACCCCCCCCCAACCCCCGAGTTTAATGACCGTGAAATGCATGTCCCAGCAAAATCTCGCGGTATATTGTCGCGTGGCGATGTCGGCGGGGGGTGAGTGATTAGCGGGGAGATAATGACCAAATTAGCCCCAACGCACCCCATCTCATCGGATCCCTGAAGCAGCTAAGCAGGGTTGAGTGGCGGGGGGAGGGCGGGGAGCGGTGGCACAGTGGTTAGCGCACTGCTCCACGAAACAGGCACTCACTCACGGCCAACGATGCTGACGATTATCCGAACCGGTCCTGGGCCTTCCCTAGGTCGACTCGGCCTCAGATGAGTACCTGGTGCGGTGTGCAAAGATCGCCACTGGGGAGACAAAGGCGGCCGGGCGTGATGCTGGCCCCCACCCCCTCGCGTGCCACAATGCCGGCCTACACAGGTGCTACTCGCTAACAACACTTGCCCCTGAACAGTCTGTTAAGGCTACAGGGGTGATCTTTGTCTTTGTGTCTACGTGTGCCTGCAAGTCAGGCGCCCACGTCGTAGCAACGAAGGAAAGCAAAACCCCTGTTCGGTTTCGATGTTCCCGTGCCTCATCAGCAGAGCGTAGCCCGTTTGCGGAATGGGATCGATCCCCTTACCCTGCGTGGCCGCTTGAGGTGGTCCCCGTTGAGGGACATGCAGACCCCGTGGGGGGGGTCCCGGACATCGCCGCTCCACGCCTCCACGTCGCCGTCATCGGGGTGCCTGCGCGCGGGGGACACGCGGGCGACACACGGAGACACAGAGAGAGGGAGACGCGGGGAGACAGAGAGGGAGACGCGGGGAGACAGAGAGGGAGAGAGACGCGGGGTTATAAAGAGACATCATGGAGACAGAGGAAGCATCACAGGGACACGTCGTGATGGAGTCGGCAGACGCACACCGCTGACTCAGCCACGTGACCCCCCCCCCGCCACGGCCTCACCTGCCGCTCGAGTCCCTGCGCCCGGGCCGCTCTGCCGGGGGCGGCGTAGCCGGCGGGGAGCCGACGCCGCGGGGCGCTGAGAACGACGGCGGCTGCTGCTGCTGCTGCGGTTGCTGCTGCTGCGTCGGCGGAGAGCGCGGCGGCGGGGCCGGTAGACCCATGCGGTGGCGCTTGGCGCTGATGCGCGCCGCGCGGTAGATGCGGTAGTACATGACGAGCATGACGGCGGTGGGGAGGTAGAAGGCGACGGCGGTGGAGTAGAAGGTGTAGCCCAGGTCCTGGCTGATGAGGCACACGCGCTCGCCGCGCACGTTCTGCGCCCAGCCGAAGAGCGGCGGCAGGGTGATGGAGGCGGAGAGGAGCCACACGCCCAGAACCATCTTGGCCATGAGCCGCCCGTCCTGCCGGACCGGGTAGGTGAGCGGTCCGCGTGATGCCCAGGTACCTGAGGGGAGACGCGGGCAGAGGTCTCACGCCGGGACCAGCAGCCTGGCGAGGTTCTCGGCGCTGCTCGCGGACACCGAGCGGGTGGTCATGGGTCAACACCACGCCCGGCAGCCTTTTTTAAGGCTGAGTCGACCCAGGGGAAGCCCCGGGGGCTGACGTCACTGATGTTGGCCGTGAGAGGGACTTGAACTCGGCTGGCCGGGTTCGTAGCGCAGTGCGCTAATCATTGCGCCACCGCTCTCCCGGGTCGCGCGCGCGCGTGTGTGCAGAAACGCAGACACCAGCACGCACACATAGCTACTCACGCACACACAGGTACCCACGTACACGCAGCTACTCACGCACACAGCTACCCACGCACACACATAGGTACCCACGCACACACAGGTACCCACACACACAGGTACCCGCTCACACACAGGTACCCGCTCACACACAGCTACCCGCGCACACACAGGTACCCACGCACACACAGGTACCCACGCACACACAGGTACCCACACACACAGGTACCCGCTCACACACAGGTACCCGCTCACACACAGCTACCCGCGCACACACAGGTACCCACGCACACACAGTGACCCACGCACACACAGGTACCCACGCACACACAGGTACCCACGCACACACAGGTACCCACGCACACACAGCTACTCACGCACACACAGGTACCCACGCACACACAGGTACCCACGCACACACAGGTACCCACGCACACACAGGTACCCACGCACACACAGCTACTCACGCACACACAGGTACCCACGCACACACAGCTACCCACACACACACAGGTACCCACGCACACACAGGTACCCACGCACACACATGTACCCACACACACACAGGTACCCACGCACACACAGCTACCCACGCACACACAGCTACTCACGCACACACAGGTACCCACACACACACAGCTACCCACGCACACACAGGTACCCACGCACACACAGGTACCCACGCACACACAGGTACCCACACACACACAGGTACCCACGCACACACAGCTACCCACGCACACACAGCTACCCACGCACACACAGGTACCCACACACACACAGGTACCCACGCACACACAGGTACCCACGCACACACAGCTACCCACGCACACACAGCTACTCACGCACACACAGGTACCCACACACACACAGGTACCCACGCACACACAGGTACCCACGCACACACAGCTACCCACGCACACACAGCTACTCACGCACACACAGGTACCCACGCACACACAGCTACCCACGCACACACAGGTACCCACGCACACACAGGTACCCACGCACACACAGGTACCCACGCACACACAGCTACCCACGCACACACAGCTACTCACGCACACACAGGTACCCACACACACACAGGTACCCACGCACACACAGGTACCCACGCACACACAGCTACCCACGCACACACAGCTACCCACACAGACACAGGTACCCACGCACACACAGGTACCCACGCACACACAGGTACCCACCCACACACAGGTACCCACGTACACACAGGTACCCACACACACACAGGTACCCACGCACACACAGGTACCCACGCACACACAGCTACCCACGCACACACAGCTACCCACGCACACACAGGTACCCACGCACACACAGCTACCCACGCACACACAGCTACCCACGCACACACAGCTACCCACGCACACACAGCTACCCACGCACACACAGCTACCCACGCACACACAGCTACCCACGCACACACAGGTACCCACGCACACACAGGTACCCACGCACACACAGCTACCCACGCACACACAGCTACCCGCGCACACACAGGTACCCGCGCACACACAGGAACCCGCTCACACACAGCTACCCACGCACACACAGGAACCCACGCACACACAGCTACCCACGCACACACAGGTACCCACGCACACACAGCTACCCACGCACACACAGCTACCCACGCACACACAGGAACCCGCTCACACACAGCTACCCACGCACACACAGGAACCCACGCACACACAGCTACCCACGCACACACAGCTACCCACGCACACGGCATCCCCGCTCCGCACTGCAGTTCACAGATGGTGTCTCCCAGGGGAAACGTGGCGTCATCTGCTGTGATGTTTGGTGTTTTATGTCGGAGTCGTCATCATTATTGCTGTTGTTGTTGTGATTTTTTGAAATATAAGTTCTACCAAAACGAGACGATGTTGACACCGGTGGTGATGGTGGTGATGGGGGTGATGGCGTTGGTGACGGTGGTGATTGTTGTGTTGGTGTTGGTGGTAATGATGGTGGTGATAGTCGGGTTGGTGGTGGTGGTGATGGTGGTGTTGGTGTTGGTGGTGTTGGTGATGGTGGTGTTGGTGGTGATGGTAGTGGTCGTGTCGGTGGTGATGGTGGTGTTGGTGGTGATGATGGTGGTGATGGTCGGGTTGGTGGTGGTGGTGATGGTGGTGGTGGTGTTGGTGGTGTTGGTGATGGTGGTGATGGTGGTGTTGGTGGTGATGGTGGTGTTGGTGGTGATGGTAGTGGTCGTGTCGGTGGTGATGGTGGTGTTGGTGGTGATGGTGGTGTTGGTGGTGATGGTGGTGTTGGTGGTGATGGTAGTGGTCGTGTCGGTGGTGATGGTGATGTTGGTGGTGATGGTGGTGGTGATGGTCGTGTCGGTGGTGATGGTGGTGTTGGTGTTGGTGGTGATGGTAGTGGTCGTGTCGGTGGTGATGTTGGTGGTGATGGTCGTGTCGGTGGTAGTGACGATGGCGCTGTTGCTGCTGTCCCTTGAGTGCAAACACGTCCACAGCAGTCGACTCAGACCTTCAACGTTTCAATGTTCCATTCAACGTTTCAATGTTCCATTCAATGTTTCAATGTTCCATTCAACGTTTCAATGTTCCATTCAACGTTTCAATGTTCCATTCAATGTTTCAATGTTCCATTCAACGTTTCAATGTTCCATTCAACGTTTCAATGTTCCATTCAACGTTTCAATGTTCCATTCAATGTTTCAATGTTCCATTCAACGTTTCAATGTTCCATTCAACGTTTCAATGTTCCATTCAATGTTTCAATGTTCCATTCAACGTTTCAATGTTCCATTCAACGTTTCAATGTTCCATTCTACGTTTCATTCACCCAAGCAGCCGGTGCTCTCCCCTGCGAGTGACCCCTGACCCACACAGAAGTAACGGGCAACACCCCCCCCCCCCATTCCAGTGCTGGATTATCCTCTTAGCAAAAGTAGCTACATATGTAGTAACTACTACATGTACTATTAGCTACTACATATGTAACTACGACATATGTAGTAGCTATCAATTCTGGTCCGTGGATTCTGTACTTGCTCTATTACTATAGTACTATACCGCCTTCAACTGTTTTTAACGACTGGGTGATTAAGGTTAGCGATTTGTCGTATTATCTGGCTGTATAGCAAATGAAAAAATGCAATTACTTTACTTTGCAGGTAAAAAATGTTTGTGTTTTAATATGTATTTCTTCATTTAGGGCCCCTTTGTAATATTTGCTACAGGCCGCACACTAGCTTCATCCAGAACTGCCCCCTCCCCCTCCTCCCCCCCCCTTCATCACCCACCCACTCACCTCTCGCCCCCCCCCTTCATGACCCACCCACCTCTCGCCCCCCCCCCCCTTCATCACTCACTCACCTCTCGCCCCCCCCCCCTTCATCACCCACTCACCTCTCGCCCCCCCTTCATCACCCACCCACTCACCTCTCGCCCCCCCCCTTCATGACCCACCCACCTCTCGCCCCCCCCCCCTTCATCACTCACTCACCTCTCGCCCCCCCCCTTCATCACCCATCCACCTCTCGCCCCCCCCCCTTCATCACCAACCCACTCACCTCTCCCCCCCCCCTTCATCACCCACCTGTCCACGCTGATGACGCACAGCGTGAGGATGGACGCCGTGCAGCACGTGACGTCGAGCGCGATGAACACGTTGCAGAAGGCGCGGCCGAACATCCACTCGCCGCCCACGAGGTCGGTGACGAGGACGAAGGGCATCACGGCGAAGGCCACGGAGAGGTCGGCGGCCGCCAGCGACACGAGCAGGTAGTTGGAGGGCTGCCGCAGCTTCTTGACGGCGCACACGGAGAGGATGACGAGCAGGTTGCCCGCGATCGTGAGCGCCGTGATCGTGGCGAGCACGAGGCCGATGAGGACGCGCGCGGCCAGGCCGTACAGCAGCACCTGGTCGGCGCACGCGGGGCCCTGGCCGCCCGCCTCGGACGTCGCGTTGGCCGGGTGGGCCGCCGGGTAGCCGCCGGGGTTGGAGGGACGCGACGGGATGAGGGAGGAGGAGGCGGCTGCGGCGGCGGCGGTGAAACTCGAGTTCAATTCCAGCACCATGGCGCTGCGGATCGCGGGAGTGAGAAGTTGGACCGGGGTGTGGTGGTGGGATGGGGGGGGGGGTGAAACGTCGGACGTGGTGCCGAGGCGTACACGCGGCACAACCGTGAACACCGGTGTGGGAGGGACGTGGAGGTTGCTGCCCCGTGCTGCCGGTCAATGTGAGGGTTGCGGGGAGAAGGGGACGTGTGAACAGATTCCAGTCGTCCATTGTGGCCGTGAGGTGTCCAGCCTCACGGCCGCGTAATGCCCCTTAACAGTCGGCGTGGTGGAGTCTTTAACTCTGAGTGCGCCTCCCTCTCATCGAATCCACGCGCCCCTATTTCTGTCTCGCAGCGTCGTTCCAAGCCTTCATCTCGCGCTCCCTCCTCTCTCTCTCTCTCCCTCCGCACGGTTCTTTTTCTGCAGCTGGCAGCGTTTTGTTCCACGCCTCCCTCAGTGCGCGTGCCTCTGACCACGCCACAGCAGAGACCGTGCGCTCGTCACCGACAGAGGTCAGAGACGATGAGCCGGTGACGCTGACATGCTGCCTTCGAATTCGGGATTCAATCGACCCGCGACTAAATTTGGGGTCTCAAGTGTGGTGAGCTACCTGATGGGTCTCAACCGCCCTGCATCCCAAAAAAAATATCCCATCGCGTTAAATTTGGTTCGGCTCTGGGAAATAGTGAACCAAAAAGATCGGGTTGTACTGTCATGCTCTCGTTTGGCTGAGCGGGTGGGAAAGTGCTGTCCGTGGGTGGATCGGAGGCCACGCAGGAACGGGTTCTCGTGGGTAGCTCTGTGATAACCACTTCCGTGGGCCGGGCAGTTACCCCGCTCCACTGGAGAGTGCCCAAATAGACTCCTCTCGTGTGACGACGGCGCCACGTTGACAACACAATCAGAATAAAATTGAAAAATGTAACAAAAACTGAAAATAAATTCTAAATACCCGATGTACCCGTAAGAAAACATTCACACTCCACGCAGGCACGCAGAGTGCAACACAACAACCCGCCAGCCGAGTTGCTGCACGACCCCTCTGAGAGGCGCACACCCACGGCTGGCTGCAATCTCACACGGTGCCGGAATCTCTGCGTGACCCACCAACCCCGCCGCCGTCTCGGAAAATCACCGGATCACACGCGCACGCGTGCACCGTCACATTGCATCGTGCATCACCTCCACCCCCCACCTCCCCCCCTGCCTCCCCACCTCCCCCCACCCACCTCGTCCCTACCTCCCCCCCTACTTCCCCACCACCTCCCCCCCCACCTCGTCCCTCACCATCACGGGTTTGTTGACACGCATCTTTGCAGAACGCGGATTATGAATCCACATATGAGACATCTCTCCCTCGTTCTCTCTCTCCCTCGCTCTCTCTTGTTTTACGATCAGAGGAAACAAGAAGATGCTCGATGTAGTCGGCACTTTGCTTCGTTCATCATTTCGTTGTTTTTGTATTTTTTTCAATGCTTTGCTTTATGTGCCCCCCCCCCCTATTTAAATGAAAATTTTCACTTAAGATTCCACGCTTTGCTCTTCTCCTTCTTACCCCTTTCCTCTCTCTACGCCGCCTCTCTTTTTCTTCTTTTTTTCCACGAATTTGCGTGTCATCCTTGCGCAGGGGCCATGCTAATCTTCTCTGTATCGTTCCAATTTTAGTATATGTACTGCCGGAGCTCTCTCTACCCCCTCTCTCCCTACTCTATGTCTATGTTCCTCCTGTTTTCTATGTATTTTTTTTACGACGACAAGTGCTGCATCTGCACCCAGCCCTCCTCGCAGTCCTACGGCATCCGACGGTAGCTCATGTCTTTCACTCTCTCCCTTGTTCCCTCTCTCTCGCTCCATCTCCCTTGTTCCCTCTCGCTCCCTCTCGCTCCCTCCCTCTCCACGTGAGGTGCGCACAATGAGATGCGCTCGCTATTAATAACGACGACGGCGGCGGCGGAACACGTGGACGCAAGACGACGTCTGAGCGTACTTTGCAGCCGGACGTGTGCTCGCCACTTTTCCATCCCCCGGGGGTCTGCACCACGCTGCGCGGATGTCACGTAGGGGATTAGCAACGCGAATAAAGAGGATAATGGAACAGAGAATAAGTTATAAATATGGAAAGAAAAATCCACGTTCAAAGAGGCGGAATGGAGGATGTGCACCCTTGGAATGATATTGAGACAGAGAGAGAGAGGGACACGTGGGTTAGAGAACATGCAGTCGGATAGAGATATCACATTGATCTTCATGCAGCAGTGGGTAGACGATTATGATAAGCGCTCGGAGAGATGCACGCTTGGGACTCACACAGGGAGACAGAGAGACAGAGAGAGAAAGAGGAACACGTGGATTCGAGAATGTACGGCAGGGTTAAAGACTTTTATTCCGATCGTTGATCGTGGGCTTGAGCAGGACGCGTCACCTGCCAGACGAGATGTCGTCCGCTGGTCAAGGAATAAAAATAACGAAGCAGCCAGCAAGCGATGGAACTCGTTCCGAGAGCACCTCCACCGGGGAGACGGAGCGGTGAAAACCACCTCGCGTGCAGTGCAAGGTGCCGGCGTGGATTGTTAGATCCCAGGATCGCGAGGGATGGCAAGCGGCGTGAGGATGGCCTTCATCCTGCAGTGAATGGACCATGGCTGATGATGATGATGATGCCGATCGGAGACCGAACCGAAGCCGTCCCCATAGAGAACCCCGGGGTCACCACCCTGGCGCAGACGACGAGACGCGGACTCAAACCCAGGCAGTGTCTGTCAGCGGCTGCTACCTCGGAATCTCCGACACGGCCATCGTGAGCAGTGACGTGCTCCCCCCCGCTCCCCCCCGCTCCCCACCAGCGTACCTGGAGGCCTATTTAGCTTATGGAGTTTTGATGAACGACGCCCACCACTCTGGGTGAATGGAGAGTTTAAATAGAGTGTCGTGCCACGAGTAATGTTGTCTCTGCTACCTTAGACACTCGAATCGATTTCCTGACCACGGGGAAAATAAAAAAAAACTTGGTGATGTGGGGGGGGGGGGGGGGGAATTCAGCCTCCACCCCCCCCCCCCTTATCGTATCCAACCACGAACCCAACGACATCATCATTAATTAACGCTGGCCAATAATTAGCCGTGCTGACGTCAACACATGCAATATTTGCCTTCGTTATTTAGATGTTTAACTGATCGCGACCGACCCTTCATCATCATCGTCATCGTCGTCTGTCGACTTTGACGTCAATGAATAATGAGCTCCCGGCGCGCGCTGCCCTCGCCACGTGCACACTCCGCGCCACGCGCCATCGGAGACGCAACCGACTTCTCCTGTTCCGTGCCAGAAGCTTCCGCAAGCTACGGACAATCATCGTCGCGGCTGCTGCTGCTGCTGTTGCTTCACACAGCACAAAGTGGGTCCAAGTTGGACTCCTGCTGCTGCTGCTGTAGTCGTCTGTATTTGAGGATAAGGCTCCGAGTTCCCTCCTCACCGCTGCACCGGGGATAGAATTCCGAGTGAAGCAGCCGTCCGGTGTTGATTGATGAGCCAGCACTCTGCTGATTCGCTCCACTCCCTCGCCCATTCACTCACCGGCGGTCAGTCGCCTCTTTATCACTGCTACTACCGCCGTGCTTCCTGTGGCTGTGAATTTCACTCGTTGATTCGTTCAACCGTGTTGAGAACTCGCACTGACCGTGTGGTCTCATCCACCACACTGTGTCCAACCGCCGCACTTCAGGGCACAACAACACTCACTCACCTACTTACTCACTCACTCAACCACTCACCCACTCACTCACCCACTCACTCACCTACTAACTCACTCAACCACTCATCCACTCACTCAACCACTCACCTACTCACTCACCCACTCACTCACCCACTCACCTACTCACCACTCACTCACTCACTCAACCACTCACTTACCCTCTCACCTACTCACTCACCCACCCACTCACTCAACCACTCACCCACTCACTCACCCACTCACTCACCTACTCACTTACTCAAACACTCACCACTCACTCACTCAACCACTCACTCACCCACTCTCTCACCTACTCACTCACCCACCCGCTTACTCAACCACTCACCCACTCACTCACCCACTCACTCATCTACTCACTCACCCAAAGACTCACCACTCACTCACTCAACCACTCACCCACTCTCTCACCCACTCACTCACTCCCCCACTCACTCACCTACTCACTCACTCACCCCCCCACTCACTCAACCACTTACTCACTCATTCACTCACCTACTCACTCACCCACTCACTCGCCCACTCACTCGCCCACTCATTCACTCACCCACTCTCTCACTCACTAACTCACTAACCCACTCAACCACTCACCCACTCACTCACTCACCCACTTACTCCTCACTAACCTATTCACTCACGCACTCACTCGCCACACTGAAGACCACCTCACTTCTCTCTCTCTGCGTCTTCGCTCGCACTGCCCCACTTTGGAATTCTTTCCTCTCATCATCATCCCCACGTTCTCGTTCCTTCCGAAGCTCGCATACCAACACTAACATTGCTCAATTCAAAGAAACGCGTACAACTGTCAAAAGAGCGCTGTCTGTTGCTGGCCGCTCGGCGTTGTGCTTGAGACAACGTGTTACACAAGAACGGAGCACGTGTCGAGGCGCGTGTGGGTGGCTGGCGCGGGGCTGGGTTCTCAAACCACTTTAAAGGCAGTCGTTGAGTGTCCCCTTTGCGCCACTCAGGGATTTGACAGCCGTCGAGAGAGAGAGAGGTGGGCGTGACAAGGATGAGCGGATGAGAGTCGAGGTGTCAGACTGGGATCTCCGAATGAGACTTGGGCGCTTCGTGGCGTTCATAATGTCCGTGTCGCAGACTCCGAGATCCCGTGGCGAGATGTTAACTACCTCGCCTGGCATGCAGCTCGTCGTGCGTTCGATCCCGGCCCTGACGCCTGCTGTTTAATTTTTGAGTTTGCGGCGTCTCTCTCCCGTGATCGCGTGGATTTTTCTCCGGGTCCTTCAGTTGTTTTCCCTACATATTTAGCAACGTGCTTTTAGAGTGTACTTGACATTTCCCCATGATAGCCCACTTCGGTGAGCTATTATTTGTGATGGGAAAAAAAATAGAATATAGCTCAGTGAAATGAAAATAATAATTAAGTTTTAGGAACTGAGAAGACACGTGGTCATTGTGAACCCGCTGAACCATCCGGCCACCTGGACAGTTGAAGCTGACGGATCCACCAAAGAGTCGCCGAGTTCCCGTGACAGCCGTCAGCGCTGTCAGCAGAGCTTCGTCGCTGGCTGCTGCGATCGGCTCTGAGCCTTGATCGACGTGAGGTTGAGCGTGAATGAGGACGAAAGGAGTAGGACCCTTCTTATCTCGCCCGTGTGCTCAAGGGCAAAGTCGAGGGCTCAGCTGTGAATAGGTATAAATTGCGTTGAAGGGTTGCGCATGGACCTTTAAAATCACTCACCACCTCCACAAATGTGGGACTTTTGGGGCGAGTGCTGTTAGCGAGCGCCAATGAAGGCCGGTGGGTGGCCAACACCACGCCCGGCCGCCTTTGTATCCCTAGTGGTGATATTTACCCACTATACCAGGTACCCACTTGAGGCTGAGTCGACCTAGTGGAGGCCCAGGACCGGTTCAGTAATCGTTATTGGTGTTGGCCACGAGCGGGGATCGAACTCGGGCCGCCAGGTTCATAGTGCAGCGCGCTTACCACTACCCCACCGCTACCCCCACACCAGCAACTCAAACACACACGAACTCACACAAACACGCACACAGCAGCAGCAACAACAACGGGCCACAGTGGCTCCAACACTTTTCCATCTGTGTCAATCTGCCCGCAGTTGTTATTCGCGGCTGGGCACGCCGCTGATGAGCTGCTCCCCGCGCCGATGATTACACTGGTCAACAAAAAAAAATTCTGGCCTGGACTTTTGCAGCTGTTTTAGACTTATTTCAGGGTGCTGATTCCAAATCTCAGATTTGCTCTATCACATCTCATTTTATGCTTTCGGCATACCCCATTGTCATTGATTTTACCCGAAATTAACTCTGTCACTTATGATTGCAAGTTGTTGCGAGTCGGTGACTGCTTTAGTGTTAAAATATGGTGCTGTATTTTTAGGATATTGTGTTTATAATATCATTTTATGTAGATATCCACATTTATTTAATATTTTTCTTCTGCAGTTTTTATTGAAAATGCAATATTTGATATCTAAAAAACCTGATGTGATAGACAAAAACTGATGCCATATTTGGAATCGGCATCCCAAAATTACCTTAAACCGTTGGAATACCTTATGCCAGAAAAAGTGTGTTGACCAGTGTAACTCGCCCAGCGTTGGGGGACTTTAGAGGCAAATGATTCTCAGCCCGCCCCCACAGGGCACGATAAACCCACGATGATTCCCCGGGGGGGGGGGGGGGTGCATTCCGATCACTGATGCCGAGTTGGCAACGCGCGCTTCGTTGCCCCGCGTGTGGCACAGTGACGGCCTTCAGAGGCGCTACTCGCAAAGGAGAATTTCCCCCAACAGTCTGTTGCAAGCTATACGGGGGCATCTTCGCATTTGTGGTGCTGGCCACTCAGCGCGTACAACTTCATGCGATCTACGCACCGCTCCCGACAAAGGCAACGATTCCCCGTATCGCGTTTGACACAGACTGTTGGGGCGAGCGCTGTTAGCGAGTAGCAGCACCTCTGCAGTCCGGCACGGCACACGAGGGGTGGGTGGGTGGCCAGCACCACGCCCGTGGACACTCTGCACCCCTGTCCGCAAGTCCAAGTACACATTGTGTTGGGGGGGGGGCTATGTGGGGTTGGGGTTCATGGGGGGGGGGGGCTACGTGGGGTTGGGGTTCATGGGGGGGGGGGCTACGTGGGGTTGGGGTTCATGGGGGGGGCTACGTGGGGTTGGGGTTCATGGGGGGGGCTATGTGGGGTTGGGGTTCATGGGGGGGGCTACGTGGGTTTGGGGTTCATGGGGGGGGGCTACGTGGGGTTGGAGTTCAGGGGGGGGGGGCTATGTGGGGTTGGGGTTCATGGGGGGGGGGCTATGTGGGGTTGGGGTTCAGGGGGGGGGCTATGTGGGGTTGGGGTTCATGGGGGGGAGGGTATGTGGGGTTGGGGTTCAGGGGGGGGGGGCTTTGTGGGGTTGGGGTTCGGGGGGGGGGGGCTTTGTGGGGTTGGGGTTCAGGGGGGGGGGGCTTTGTGGGGTTGGGGTTCAGGGGGGGGGGCTTTGTGGGGTTGGGGTTCAGGGGGGGGGGGGGGGCTACGTGGGGTTGGGGTTCATGGGGGGGGGGGGGGGGCTATTGACCTGAGGCCGTGCGCTCTGCGTCTGCGTTCGGCTCTTTGCGTTCGGGAAGCGGTGGCGCAGCGGTTAGCGCACTGTGACGCTACGTAGCTGCCCGGGCTAGGTTCGAGTAGACGAGCCGAGGCGAGTTCACGAACTAACGAAGCGAGCGGAGGCGGTCGCTGATGTGCATATTAGCCACCCGTTGTGTGTTAGACTCTACTACTATGCTCCCGTGTGGCAATGCTTACCGACCTCCGCCAACCCAACAGCCCATCGAGGAGTGGGGAGGGGGGGGGGGTTGGGGGGATTTATTCAGCAGTGGATTGAGAATGGGCAGTGTACGGTGTTGTCACTCTCTCGCTCACTCACTCTCATTCACTCTCATTCACTGTCATTCACTCACTCACTCTCTCACTCACACTCACTCTCATTTACTCACACTCACTCTCTATCTCACACTCACTCACACTCACACTCTCTCGCTCACTCACTCTCTCACTCATTCTCACACTCACTCTCTCATTCACACTTACTCTCTCACCCACTGACTCACTCTCACATTCAATCTCACTCTCTCACTCACACTCACTCCCTCTCACAGTCACTCACCCTCAATCGCACACTCACTGACTCCCACGCTCACGCACTCACTCGCATACTCACTCGCACACTCACTCACGCTCACTCACTCTAACGCTCACTCACGCTCACTCACTCTAACGCTCAATCTCTCACTCACTCTCACACTCAATCTCACACTCACTCACTCTCACACTCACTCCTCACTCTCACCCACTCGCATACTCACTCTTTCACTCACTCTCACACTTAATCTCACACTCACACTCACTCCTCACTCTCTCCCACTCGCATACTCACTCTAACGTTCACTCTCTCACTCACTCTAACGCTCACTCACTCACACTCAACATCACACTCACTCTCACGCTCACTGGCTCGCACACTCACAAATGTGTCCACTCAGTCTACGGGGGGTGGGGGGGGGGGCCAGGACCAGTTCTGATGTCGTTGCCACGACGTGGCTCTGGCACGCCGTGCTCGCAGCGCAAGTGCGCTAACCACCGCGCCACCGCTCCCCACACATATACACATTCCCCGAATAGCCTTAACACACTGTTGGGGGGAAGTGATGTTAGCCTAACACACACATGCACACAGACACTCACAATGTAGCACAGAGGCACACATTCTGCACTACAACTTACCGAATAATAATCATTGGGCATTTTTAGATACATTTTTAAAATCATTTTTACGGAACTCGAGTGACCGCTTACCTCGAGAGCCGGGTTCGATGTCGGGTCTTTAGCTGCTGCTGGTGGTGGTGGTGCTGGTGGTGGTGCTGGTGCTGGTGGTGCTGGTGGTGCTGGTGGTGGCGCTCTGGGTCCAATCTCGCAGCGGTGCCGGGAATTCACACTCGCTCACACCTTGACATTCACACTCACTCACGCTAACGCTCATCCATAGCGATGCTCACTTACTCACTCAAACACTCACAAACGCACTCATCATACACACGCTCGTACACACACGTAGACAAATATCCCTCGTCGAGCCTCAACACACACTCACTCACACGCTCACTCTCTCACACACTCACTAACACACTCACACACTCACTAACACACTCACACACTCTCTCACACACTCACTAACACACTCACACGCTCTCTCACACATTCACTAACACACTCACACACTCACTAGCACACTCACACACTCTCTCACACACGCGCACACTCTCACACGCTCACTCTCTCACACACTCACTAACACACTCACACACTCTCTCACACACTCACTAACACACTCACACACTCACTAGCACACTCACACACTCTCTCACACACACGCACACTCTCACACGCTCACTCTCTCACACACTCACTAACACACTCACACACACTCACACGCTCACTCACACACGCACACTCACACACACACGCACACTCACTCAAATACGCACTCACACACACTTACACGCACATCCACTCAAACACACTCCCACGCTCAAGCACACACACACACACACTGACACACACACTCACTCAAACACAAATTCAGTCACACACACGCACTCACACACACCTACTCACACACACTCACACACACAAATTCACACACACACACCCACACACTCACACACCTACTCACACACTCACACACACACAATCACACACTCACACACACCCACTCACACACTCACACACACCCACACACACTCACACACTCACTCACACACTCACCCACTCACACATTCCACGACTCCCAAGGCGTTTTCATTGATGTCTCCCGAGCGATGCGGGCCGTCTCCCTCAGCCCAATCGTCCCCTCTTCCTGCGCGCGTCTTTACGTCTCCTGCACGTCTCGTGCATCTCTCACGCCAGGAGGTAAACTCATCAATAAGCTTTTCTCACGGTGGAACCACTCGCTCACTGGACCCTACCAACTATCGCGCCGGACGCGACATCCTAGAACGAGGTTGACGAGTGGAGAGTTCAGTTGATGGAGGAGGTGGTGATGGTGGTGATGGTGGGAAGGGCACTTTGTGGGTGTGTGGTGATGGTGGTGGTGGGGTTGAGACTCTGAGACAAATGCTAGGGTGGAACCCCGCCCCTAACACCCCCCCCGCCCCCCCCAAACCTGGGCCCCCCACCAAGCAACGCGCACTTTGGCATGGGAGCTCTCTCTCTCGTGCTTTCTCTCTCGCGTTCTCTCACTCTCCCCGTCTCTGGCAACCTCACCACTCCCCCATCAATCTCTTGCGACCGCCCTCGCCTCCGACGTCACAGGAGCGAACGATGAATAAATTAATATATTAATTATTTCTCGTTTGAGGCCGTTCAAGCACGGAGAGCCAGGATTGCTGCTGTTGGGCGAATTTGTCTTTCTTTCTAACATCTAGCTCACATTTAAAGTCTTATTTTTAAATCCTTTATATTACGTTCACTTGCTTGCTTGCTTGCGCGCTTACGACCGTGCAAATCTTTCGGTCGTTTTTTAACCCACTTCCCGTGATCCAATCGAGCTGACATTTTGCACACAGACTCGTTGTGCGTGACAATTTCTTTTCGTGAAATTTTTTTTCCAAAATGTTACACTTTTTAGGTAATTTTTTTTTATATTTAATTACCAATTGCTTAATGGTGGCAGGCAATCATCTGACCCATAGGTGGCAGCCATCTCAAGCCAGAGGACGAGAGGACTCTAGCCGCCCGTTTCAAAGACCAATGTGGGCTGGGTTGTGGCCCATAGTGAAAAATTTTGTTTTTACGGGTTAAATTTTTAATGGTCAAGTCTTGCACGCCGTGCCGGTTCTTTTAACTGTGATTCTTCAATGTGCCACAAATTAGTTTTAATGTCAGGGTCAGTGACACTTTACTCTGCGCTGGTGTCTCCAGCTGGCTGCGTGAAACGGGAGCGGCGCTCGGCTTTGCCCGCTCAGCAAACTCAGCCGACGAGTTAATTCGTTAATTGCGTGGAGCGGTGGCGCGAGTGGTGAGCGCGACTGCGCTACGAACCTGGGCCAGGAGTCGCGGCTCACGGCTGTCATCATGCGGCTCCACCAGCCCCATCGTAATCCGGTGCCTGGAGTCGAAACTCGACACATCAACGGGGGCCATACGCGGACGAAGTGTGGGGGGGGGATGGGGGGGAGTGATAATCTGGACCGCCCCTGTGCGAGACCACGGCGAACCGACACAAACACAGCGCTGATGATGACCAGCGCGGTGAAGTATAGCCAATAAACCGCAACATGGTTGGTGGTGAGGGTTTTTTTTTTGTTAAATCCGGCAACGATTTGTGAAAATATTGTCCACTTTTTTTCAGATTCAAACGTGAGTGGGCGATATCTCTCATCGCTGTGTTCATAGCCAGCGGTGGAAATTCCACATTCCTATGGCTGGTGCGAGTTTCATCGACATAACAGTCACTGAACAACGCGCTCATTCGCATATCTCTGACAGCCAAAACAACAACAACAATGACAGCCGCCACTAAGTGGCGGTGACGTCATGGCAGCGCGTGTGCCAGGCTAGATGCACTATGAGGCCACGTGACGTGTTGAAGGCTCGCTGCTGGCAGGAGGTCACGGTACGGACCCAGGTGCCTTGGGGTTGACTGACTACGATGACTGTCACACGCGCATTACCACTTACACACACAAACAAAGATCCCCCGTATAGCTTCTAACAGACTGTTGGGGCAAGTGCTGTTAGCGAGCACCTATGAAGGCCGCCATGGTACACGAGGAGGTGGGTGACCAGCACCACGCCCGACCGCCTTTGTCTCCTCAGTGACGATGTTTACCCACCACACTAGGTACTCATGTTTCAGGCTGAATCTACCTAGGGGAGGACTGGCTCAGATGATCGTCACTGGCGTTGGCCGTGAGCGGGAATCGAGCTGTGATGGCCCAAGTTCGTGGTGCGGCGCGCTCAGCGTTGCTCAACCACTGCCCAGACACCACGAACACATCCACACATCAACAGAAGCTCAACATTCACACACCATCACGATACCGGATTAGCAGTCAACGATTGTTATGGCGATAATTGGCGACGATGATTTTGAAATGAGCCCAGAGCCCATCCACCGGGAGGGATATTACATGAATTGTTGACGAATCGAGTCCTTGGCAATCCATCATCACCATCATTATCATCACCATAATCACCATCATCATCATCACCACCATCATCATCACCATCATCACCATCATCACCATCATCATCACCATCATCATCACCATCATCACCATCATTATCACCATCATCATCACCATCATCACCACCATCATCATCACAATCATCACCATCATTATCACCATCATAATCACCATCATCACCATCATCATCACCACCACTATCATAATCACCATCATCACCACCATTATCATCATCATCACCATCATCATCACCATCATCACCATCACCATCATCACCATCATCACCATCACCACCATCATCATCACCATCATCACCACCATCACCACCATCATCCCCATCATCACCACCATCATCATCACCACCATCACCATCATCACCATCACGCCCCTCGCGGGAAGCGACCCATCTGTTGGACGATGGCGCCGCCCCGCGTGTCATCAGTGTCACTGCACGCGCGTGCACGTGGGGGCATTTCAAGATCCAGGAGTTGGCTGTGGTGGCTGGGGTGGTGGTGGTGGTTGGGAGTCGTGGTTCACAATGGCCATGTCAGAGACAGCTGGAGACGGCATCTCCTAACGCCGTGTTTCAGTCGCTCAGTCGTCGTGAGCTGATGGTCTCAGACCGCTCACCAACAACTGCACAAACCCCCCCCCACCACAATATTCAAAGTTGTTTTCACTTCGTTGCTCGTAGTAGCAATGCCCCCCCGCCCCCACCTGCACAACGACAAAGAGCCCCCGTATAGTCTTAACAGACTGTTGGGGCAAGTGCTGTTAGCGAGTAGCAGCACCTATGAAGGCCGGCACGGCACACGAAGGGGTGGGGTGGCCAGCACCACGCCCGGCCGCCTTTGCCTCCCCAGTGGCGATGTTTACTACACACCGCACCAGGTATTCGTTTGAGGCTGAGTCAACCTAGGGGAGGCCCAGGACCGATTCAGATAATCGTCACCAGTTTTGGGCGTGTGCGGGGGAATCGAACCCGGCTTTCCGGGTTCGTAGCGCAGGGCGCTAACCACTCCCCCGCAAAGACAAAGCTACCCCGTATAGCCTGCAACACACTGTCGGGGCAAGTGCCGTTAGCGAGCACCGACCACCCCCCTCCTCCCACCCCCACCACGCGCAGGGCACGCGGGAGGGAACAGGACAGGACGCGTGAACACGCTCGACAACTCGCGGTGTCAGATTGACACGGGCGGGGCGCAGAGTTACGTGACGAGGAAGAGGAGGAGGAGGTGGAGGAGGAGGGGGAGGAGGAGGCGGGGAAGGAGGTGGAGGAGGAGGCGGGGGAGGAGGCGGGGGAGGAGGGGGGGAGGAGGAGGCGGGGGAGGAGGGGGGGGGAGGAGGTGGAGGAGGAGGGGGAGGAGGTGGCGGGGGAGGAGGGGGGGGGGAGGAGGAGGCGGGGGAGGAGGGGGGGAGGAGGAGGTGGAGGAGAACCTGAAACCCTCGCCCCAAATGTCTCCAAGATTGACCCGAGCGCCTGGCCACCAATCACCCTGAACCTGGCACAAACCCACGGGCAACCCAGCATAACAAACAGATTCGGCAAAACAAACACAACAACACAACGCAGTGTTTCACGAGGCCGCACTGCACTGTGAGTGCACGAGACGGCGGTGGTCCTTGATGGACGACGCCACGAAGCGGTCCTTAAAGAGCCACCGCATGTGACCCCTGCCCACGCCCGACTCCCATCGGCCACCCGTCACGTGAACCCGCATCACGTCGGCAGCCCTTACATCTCGACCCATAGCACCGAGCTGGAACCTTACCTGGGACATTCAACCCTTGCCCCAACATTCACTAAAGAGGACAGTCCCAACATCCTACCATAACCCGAGCACTGACCACATCCCCAGAACCCCCAAATAACACATTCTAACCCCCGCGCCTCGAGCTATTGCGCTCAGCCGCAGCCTCAACCCCGCACCCACGACTGCACCAACCACAACCAAAGCCCCCAAAACCTTCCCTCCCATCTCCAACGTGCTCCCCCGCCCGTGGCGAGGAGCATTTGCAGCGAGGGCGCAGTGGACACGGCACGCGCGGCCACTCAACGACGACGCCCTTCCTCGACCACAGGCTGCTCGTGGCGCTGTGGGACCGCCCGCGACGTCGTTCTGAGCTCGTGAGTCGCTGTAGGTGTCGCGGCGCGGCTGATGCCCCCACCACCCACCACCATTCCCGCGCCGTCGGTGTCGCTCCGCGCCGCGTTCAAGCACGAACCGAGCCTCGGGTGGGGTCAGAGTTGCGTGCGCCTGCGGGAGTGTCGGAGAGCGGTGGCGTAGTGGTGAGCGCGCTTGCGCCACTAAACGGGCGATCTGAGTTTTGATTCCTTGCCTCGGCTAACATCGCGCGGCAAGTGATGCCAGAACTGGTTCTGAGCCATCCCCCTGCATGTTGCGGAGTTTAAACGTCACGGTTGGGGAGACAAAGGCGGCCGGGTGTGGTGTTGGCCAGACTATCTCCTCGTTCGCCGTGCCTGCTTCATACGTGTTCACGAACAGCACTTGTCCTGGCAGTCGATACGGTATAGGTTATAGGGGCATGTGTGTGTTTGGGGTGTGAGTGCAAAAACAACCTCCTACCTCCTCGTGGTGCCGGACGGGCAACACTGTCGTGGGCAGTGCTGTGGGGGGGGGGGCAATGCCCATTGGCCTCTCCCCTCATGGCGTCTGTGACCACCACAGTGGCTAAACGGGGGCTCTGGACGGGTGCGAGGGGCTGGTAACCCCTCCACCTTCAATTAATTACCACAAAACCACGAATTAAACATAAACCTGTAACTAATAAGCTTGTGCCGGAGGCCCCGGGGGGTCAGGCTTTTATGACGTCTCCTGGCCAAACCCCATTTGGCGGAGCCAGGAGATTGAATTTTCACCCTCGGGGCTCCTCCAGAAACAACGAAAAACGATTGCGGATGGCCACGTGGAATGTTCGAACGCTCACTGCGGAGGAGAGGCTGCCACTCCTCTGTCGGGAGCTGGACCGGTACCGCCTGGATCTCTGTGGCATTCAGGAGGTCCGGTG